TGTAGAGTTCAAATCTCACAAAAATCATAGCGTGTAGGGCATCCTTTAGGATGAAAAATTGAGTTTTTCGGGCGACTACGGTCGGAACTACGCACATACTTTGATTACTATACGAGGCATTGATAAGGCAACGTAAGGATACGTCATATGTATTATTTTTGATATACAAAAGTGGGACCGGTAGGCGTGGCTTTTGCACTCACTAAAATGGCGGAAGAGCAGAACCGGATTTACAAGTTTTTATTGAACTATTTCTGGTTAAATATCATTATTTGAACTATAAAAAAATTAATTTCCTTTTTATTGACATTGACTTAAAAGGTAGTGGAAGGCCGAGGTTATAAAAGAAGGGGGGTTAAAAGCTTAAATATGACCGGTTTTCAGCCGAAAGGTGCTGAATAAAGTAAATGAAAGAAATAAAATATAACTGATTTAATTATCACTCAAGTGGCTATTAAGCGCTGGAGAATATATTATTTGCAAAATTGCAACTAATCAATGACCATCATATAACTAACTTAGGGCCGATTCCACCATTGGGTTTAACGAAGTTTAAAATGACATTTTTACATAAAATTTAATTTTAATCTTCAATTAATAGTTTAAACTTTAACACAATGGTGGAATTAACCCTAAAGCGTTGAAATCATTCACAGAAAAAATAAATAGTACATTTTTGGTTCACATAAGCGACAAAAGTAAATAGAGTTCGATTTATTGGATCAGTCGTCACACGTTTGCACTAGGGCACATAAATAGCTCAAGCTTTAGTTTTTCGTTTTTCTATGAGCCCAATGCTTCTGTCTTTATCAGAAAGTACAAGGTCGCAAAGTCAAGTAATCTAACCATGGAGGAAGAATCTAACCTTACTTTAATTAACAGCTTTCTCGAAATTAAGAACAAATGTTCATACACTAAAAGCTCGATAATCAGATATGAAACTTAATGCAAGGCTCGCGGAAAATGGCTAATAAGCAATCTCTGTGTAGGTAGATGCACTATTCAGGAAATCAAAATGTGGATTAATCTTACTTGGTCTTGGTACTTTTGTAGATTCAGACTGAAAGGTGTATATCTTCATGCAAGACATTCAGTAAATCAGCGAAGCCACAACCAGCGGTGTGCAGGTGCACTTCTAACAAATGTAAAATATGAAGTGATCTTACTTGAGACCTATAGATCCAATGACGATAGTATGGTAGTTGGTTTGAGCTGGGCTTCTCACCATCTGCAGAGACTATGGCTACTTATGTAAAGGCCTACCCTAATAACACACAACATGCACCACAAGCGTGCCGGTCCAATTTAATTGGTCTATGCACAATAATCATGCATGTATAATTGAAAGTCAGACAGAGAATGTGAAGATAAAGTTGAAGTCTCAATCATAATTAAAGTCACAGATGAAGTTAAAGTTAACAGCAAAAGAGTTGAAATTGTAGGATGGTGATAAAGGGAGGCCAACAACTAGGTAATAAATGTTTTATTGAGTTAGGAAAAGTATCCACTGTGCTTTTCTTAACCACTAAGGTAAAAACCAGAATATTTTCTAATACACAATTTCTTCGCTAGGCAAAATAAGAAATAAATTTGTGAGAGTACTTCCCAATTGTTTTTCCAAAAGCTCCAAGAACAAAATTGACGAAAATGGCCTAATCCAAGTTCAAATTCTAAAACTTGAACATTAAAGATAAGTATCTTACTGTAAAACAAGTAAAACCCCGTTGTTGACTAAATAGTTGAATAATTCATTACCTAGGTGGAGGTAGAACAGGGACTAGAGTTTAGCAGAAAAAGCTACTAGAAAAGGTGAACAAAACAGACTGGGGCATATGAACGTCAAGCAAATATTGTAAATGCAAATAATGTGTGCTGTGATTAAATAAAAGTGTACAAGGAATAAAGTTTTAATATTTTCTTATCCATATCTATGAGTGATATTTATTTTTAATACTAAACAAACGGTTATGATTTTATTGCTAGTCTCATTAAAAAAAGACTAATGTTATTTTTTTTTTCGACTTATGGCCAAGGTGTATATACCTAATATGCCCGTCTCAAGCTTGTGTTTAAATTCTTAATAATTGTGTTCTGTGTAGGCTTTGTTACTGTTTCCCAGCGCCACTTCAGGAACAGCACTGTTAATTATTTGAACCCAACAGTGAATGGTCGAGTGGGGAATCATACCAAGGCATTAGAAAATATTTTTATTATTATTAGAACTTATATACAGTGTGTTCATAATATGCACTGTACAAACTTAAATATTATATTCCTGAATTCATTTCAAGCATAAAATGTCCTATGAACAAATATCCAATTCTACATGGTTACCAAGCTGCAAGAGTTTAAATATCAAAAGATATATTAACACAGTATGCCATGTGTTCCAATATGTCGAAACACAGCACTGAATGTTTGGTGCTTTGGAACTTGTCAGTATGGAAATCGTCGCTTGTTGAAGAGCTGGATAATCTCGAGGTTTCCATGTTGGAGCAGTCGTTGTTGGTGACTACTGGCAAATGTTTGTATTGTATTTTCAACAGTCTCCACTTTAAGGTTCCTATGAAGATCAGTATTGTGGCAGTACCATGGTGCATCGACGATGTTCCTTAATATTTTATTCTGGAAACGTTGAATAACTTCGATGTCACTTTTACTGGCACATCCCCAAAGCTGGCGAATCGCTTCATTTTCACCAATTCCTTTAAACGCACTAATCTGAAACAAATTATAGGTAATTAAAAAGATATATTAATATTGTTTTAAATTAACTATAATAAAACAAACAATACTCATGCATACACAAAACATGAAGCTCTACTTTTCAATCAGCTGTAGAACTAATAAATAAAATTGGTGGAAGGACCGCAAATGTAGGTTATATTTAAATAGAAATAAGAATATATAAAATGCCTATAAATTTGATAAACGAAATAGCGTACGATTAATGTACTTCTCAAGAAAATGCTTGGAACACATACAGCTGAATTTAGAAGGTTCCCAATTATGCTTCTTGACAAACTGTATTCACGCGATACGTTTTTCAGGATTTTTTGGAAATCTATAAATATTATTTCGTATGAAAAAGTATTTATTCCAATATAGGTGGGCCCAAAAGTTGATAGATGATTTTTTTGCATTTTTAAAAGCATACTTTTACACATTTTATACAAACCTGTCATAATACTGTCCTGTATAATATTTATAATTTTGATACTAACCTATGAAACGTTATTCCAGTCGATTTTTCACAAAAACGTCTATCGCTAGAGCAGGAACATATAACACAGCAAGGCATTATATACTTTATAAGTTTTTAACACTCAAAATTTGCTCAAACACAAATTAAATTCAAATTTAATAACACAAATGACACTAAAATATAACCTATAAAATTTGACAATTTGCACTCACAGTAATGGCGGACCGGTCCCACTTTTCGTTTACGCATGTCGTATCCCTAGGTTGCCAGATCAATGATACGAGGCAAGAGAGAGGTCCGACACGCCCAACATAAAGCGCGGCCATTTTGAACCCTGTGACACAGTTTACAGCTAAAGAATCAGATCGCTCACTCTGCGTCGGCACTTTGGATCTCAATGTTTCAGTTTATACATTGTGCAACTCGGATAATACAATATAAGACAACCGCCTATAATAAAACAGTAGTCTTCCGCGTATCCTGAATTTGTATCCCTGGAGTGGATGTTATTTTGGAACTTTCAACTGGTCCGAGTGAGCTAACTGATTCTTTAGCAATAAACTGTGACTTCAAAAATAATATTCACTGACACTGACAGCAGCAAGCAAAATATCAGATGCGTTTTAATCATCCGCTTCTGCTTCCGGAATTGTCGGTTTAGTCGTTTTAACCTGTCAGATTAAAACAAGAAAACTGACAATTCCGAAGCAGAAGCGGATGATTAAAACGCACCTATTAAAAATATTGCGCCAAGATGTAGGCAACACGTAATAAGGGTTCAAAATGGCGGAGTTTTCTATCTCCTTTTAAAAGGGACTCAGAAAGCTGCGCAGTGCGAGAAAATCAAAGTATGTGGAACTACGAGAAGTTTGTCAGGCTCGTTTCGCCTGGCAACTTATAGGAGTCCGAACATACACTTGTCGTCCGTGTTTCATACATTTTTTTTTCAAATGTGCTTGTAGATATTAAAAAAAATACATAAAAAATTAAAACCAAAATTATATTTCCAATTTTTCGTATAACTGAGATGGATGTGATCGAAAAGAATTAGGCATTCCAAATAAAATGGCTACCAGTGGGTTTTGACAGGTCATGATATGGCAACCCTGTAGGTCTGGTGATTTGACAGCGTCAATTAAATAGATAGTTATATAGATTGATCATCCATGTTTTTCAAAATAAACATAAGCTTATTCCTTAAAGTTAAAGTTTAGGTTTTTACATATTTAATATATTCAAAGGCTAAAAATTGGTTTGTAAACACATTTTTACTAAACCGATTCTGATTAGTAGGCACTTGCGAGGCAATATGGCCACTCGCAGCGTATAACGGGCCAGGGGTGACTCCCCGCCCCTTGCGTATAGAGCACATTTAGCGCTCCTCACAGAGTTTTGGGCATCTCAAAAAAGCTTCGCCTCCTCCAACCTTTGGAACACGCTACTCCTTTGCGCCATCAGTATTAAAAGGTAAATTGAACATAAAACAGAAAGTTTAGCGGAGCCGCTTTACTTTTGGGGTCGTAAAAGTAATTTTCAACGGTCATTTCAAGTATATTTAAAAGTTATCAATTCTAATTATGTTTTCTGACCTAAAAACGACGATTTATGACATATTCAAATAAAAAATGGGTTTATACTATGAACATTTTTATATGAAAATCTTACTATTAATAAGGTATTTATGGGCCATCGGTCATTCATTCAGACCGTGAATGGTTCCACACAGCTGAGTTGTGACCGGTGTTTTGAATACATTTCGCAGTCAGCCAGCGACCTGATGTCAATTTTATTTCAGATGAAGGCGATAATATTACTCCTTTGCCTTGGATTTATCTACCTAGCAAACGCAGAATCCGACATCTGCTACAACAGTAAAGAAGAATGCCATTCAACCAACTACGAAACATACGTAGAATGCGTCAGAAAACGGCAAAAACGTTCCACAAATTGCTACTCCGACGACTGCGAAGACAACAACAACTGCATTGATACATGCGGCCAGTGTGATTGCAACTCCTGCAACTACAACAACTGTCACAGCTCCTGCAACAATTGCTGCAATTCGTGCTGCAGTAACTACGTACCTTGCCACACCAATCACTGCTGCCACAAAACCTGCCACGCACAGTGCACCAATTCGTCTTGCAGAAGCAGCTGCAGAAAAAATTGTTTCGAAACTGTCAGGGAAAAAACTGAAGAAAAAATTGAACGTGAACGAGTAATAGAATCGGCTGGTGGGTCTACTTACTCAAATATAACGAACTTAAACAGACATAATGTAACAACAATTATTCATTTAAACAACGTTATTAATAACACTAACGTTATCGACGTACCAATTGTTGTTAACAACACTAATAATCAGAATATAACTCTTTACAATGAAGAAGCGAGTGCGGGAAGTACTGGAGTAATAACAGAAAGATGTTGTACAGTCATAAGTCCCAGACAGTGTGTTACGAGTCCAAAACCTCGTTGTTTCCACTACAGATCGAAACAATGTGGACCTTTTTGCACTGCTGACATCGTTCACAAAGAGCAGCAACAGATTTGCCAATCGGACTACCCTGGAGCTCCGCCGAAATGTTCTCAAAATGTTTTTTACATACCTCAACCCCAGCCAAAATGTACCTATCAATCTGTTTGGCCTTATGTGTCGTGTGGCATTAAGAAACAGGAAACTTGTCAAGGATGTTACTCTCATTATGTGGATCGGCAATCCACCAACTACTTGGGTTGTCCTTCTCAGTGTTACGATGATGGTTATGGAATGGGTTCGATGTACCGTCAAGGTCCGATGTACAGGTGAGTTGTCTAAAAACTTTATTTTATCACTTCAAAAGAAAATTTTTATACTTTTGACATATAAAGTGACAGCTTGTGTAATCGCAGCAAGTGTCAAAATGATCTACTTTATATAACTAGTTACAAAAAAAATATTATTTTTGTTAATGCGCTAGTTCAGTGTGATGTCATTTTGGTTCCACTGACATTTAATTCTAACCAAACTTTTAACAAAAACATCAATAAATTTGACATATACGTTTTTACTGTTTTAAGTTTATTTTTAATTATTGTTTACAAGTCATAAGAAATAGTTTTAAGGTATGTAATTTGTAAATAAACGATTGTATATTTGATGCATGTTATCTACTTACTTTAGGAATATATTTAAAAAAGTGAGAAAACGATATAATTTAGGTAAACAAAACGAACAAAACGCTCTCAAAAAATCTACTGTCACTTTAATTGTCAGTGGAACCATAATTACATCATCACTGAACTAGCGCATAAATCAACCATTTTTCAAGATATAGGACTGAAAATTGGGGTAAGGCTATTTTTTGTAACGACAAACTAGAATATGATATTATATTTTTAGATGCCACAATCGCCATATTAAATAGAAGAAATTAGCTATAAAATATTAACTGTTTTCGATATATTTGAATGTTGCTAATTCGCCCCAATGTATTATTTTGTGACACAGCTTTGAGATTTTCTTATTTTTCCTTATATGACTTTCTCAAATTTAAATTTTTTATTAAAAAAACCTTAATTATAATAGCTGAAATTTAATTGACTAATCTCAGCATTTTATTTAGTACTTTTCATAAATTAAATAATAATTTATTCCCAAAATCTTGAATTATTTCCAGTTATCTTTGAGTGGTTTCTTGATTTTACATCAGTTTTATTTGTACAAGTACAAGTAATTAAAATACAAGGTGGCAAAACGAAAACTTGTTGACATTGAGTTTTGGGTATTAATATCGTAAGTGCTACAGGTCGATTTTAGTTTGGAAGGGCACATCTTTTTATCATATCCACAACTGCCATACATCATTTCCTTCCACTCCGTCACACTAACAAATACAATTTAAATATGGTAAATATCAAGTAGGACAAATCATTGAAAAGATATTATATTCATTGCGTCGCTTTTGATTTTTGCGCCCTTTAGCTGGAAAAAACTGTTACCTATTGTAAAGTAGTAAGATACTCCATTTGAAAGCTAATTTTATTAATAATTTAATGCGCAACATAATTGAATGAAACATGTACTTAAATAATTTGAAAATCTTAAAATCTTGCAGAGCCCTAACGATAAGATATACAAACTTTAATCGTAATCAACCAAAATAAAAAATTAGTTTTCAAAGTGTCACACTTTACAATACGTAACAGTTTTTTTTTCCCGCTAGAGTCGTAATCTTATTACTGAATCTATTTTCATACAGGTAGGTTAAATATATAAGTATATAACAAATAGAAGTTTTGCAAGGTTTTGATTTTCCTCAACAACCTCTCGTAAACGTTGCATTTATGTTGTATAGTAATGTTATTACGTCCCCTTAAAACAACATCCCCGAAAGGCTTGGCAACGGTATATGCTAGCTGGGTGAGGTTTTGTATTTTGACGCTTGTGTATTTAGAGAGCATATAAAATAACTAGAATGAAGATATATAATGCTTGGCATTCTATATTATACTCTTCACAGTTCAACAGACCCCCACTTAAACCCCATCTTTAATAAAAAAAAGTTTAGAATCAATACGCTTCATCTCCTTTTCCTGAAGATTTCAATTTTATATCGTTTTTTTTATTTCTAAGTTAGGTTTTTTTTTTTTTCAATATTTCAACCCCCCTTATTCCTAGTGATGCCGCGAGACGAGAGATACATGTGTTATTAGGATTTTATAAATAGTGATTTTTAAGAAAAAATATTTCTCATTTCATTTATTTAAAATTTATACAATAATTTCTTATATTTAATCCATTCTGCTTTTCTGAGGTTACTTTTGAAGATAAGTTGAAAATTTTCAAGCGTTTTTTCGAAAAACTGTCAAAGAAAAGGTAATACAAACGAATGTATGATATACAGTGAGGACGAAAATTGTACCCTTTTCTATTTTAATTTCTAAATGAATAAAGATAATGACAAAACAAAAACGAGGTAAAACTTAAGAGATATTATATTTTTGTTATAAACAGATGCACTTTACTTGAGACACGTAAGATAGAGAGAGTTACTAGCTTTAAATTTTCTAATGGAAAGTAGGGTCACGTTAAACCTCATTTGAAAAATATTTTCCATATTTTTACGTTCATGTAAACAGATTTAGGTTTTTATTTTTTTACAGAAATTATATTAAATAAATTTACAAAGTAGGTTAAATTCTTTTTTTTATTTACCGCTTCAACCTCAAAGGATAATTACCGAAGGTATAATACCTTATAAATTCTTGTTTTTTACAATAGTATACAATCGATAATTAACATTTTGGCTAGTACAGAGTAAATGTCAGTATCTTTTATAAATTTAAGTAATTTTATACTGGGGATTTAACACTGCACAAATGGCAATTTTTTTGTAGCTGGTACTTTGTTCTTATACAGACATGCTCTCGGCCTTTACTCATAAGTTACATTCTTGATAACTCTCGTATTAACAATTATTTATTACTAAGGAAACGCTTCTCGTATTTACTAAAATAAATAAATTAAGAATATCAAAGGTGATTTAAAAACCACTTGACGTATTAAATTTTTCATAACTTCTTAGCAAAAAAAGCTTATTAAAAAATTATATTCTAACATTATCTAATATTTCTAGGATTATTGCAGCACACGAGGATTATCAAGAATGTAATTTTTGTAAAAACAAAAAAAATTAAAACTATTTGCTTGGACGTAAATATAATCAAAATATCTTTCAAATGAGATATTATATGACTTTACTTTCCATTAGAAAATTTAAAGATAGTTACGTCCTCTATTTTTCGTCTCAAGAAATATCATAATGTTTCTCTAATTTTACATCATTTTTGTTTTATGTCTCTATCTTCTTGCATTTTGAAAACATACTACAAAATGCTTTCATTTGACATCGCAGGATTGCATTAGAAAAACTTCCAATTTAACCTCTTCCCCCCCTCCCCTACTGACTTACAAGACAAAGTATTTTCGTTTTTATTTAATGCCTAATCTGGGCCACTTATAACTTCAAATTTCAATTGTAGAACGACTGTGACAGACGGACAGAGAGACATAAGTGTTTCTTATTACCAAATTTGGGTACTAATGCGCAAATTACTTGAAAAATTCTTTGTTTTTGTCTTGCAAATTTTACCGTTTTTCATGTTTCGTCTTTTTCAAATTTAAATTTGACATTGTTTTATCACGAGAGAAACGAGACGAGACAAGACGAGAGAAAGGCTCTCTCAAGCGAGAGAAGCGCCTTCTCGTCGAGACGAGAGAACAGTTTTCTCTCACCCTACTAGACGAGACGAGAGAGGCCACTCTCTCGTCTTGTCTTGTCTCGCGGCATCACTACTTATTCCCCAATTTTGATTCAGATTTTTTTCAGAATCAATAGGCTTCATTCCCTTATAGATCTTCATTTTTTACTAAAAATTTTCATGTTGATATCGTTTTTGGTGTTTGATTTCTTTTTTTTTTCCCATTTTGTTCACAAATTTTTTTAAATCAATTTTTTTGTCACCCTATAGAGCTTGATCTTTGCAAAAAAAATTTGTTTTTGAGTTTTTTGAATATTTTAACCCTCCTTAACGCCTTATTTTTATTGAGATTTTTTCAGAATCAATAGGCTTTATCCCCTTATAAAGCTTGATTTTCCTCAAGATTTCAAGTTGATATCGTTTTTGTTGTTGAGTTAGGATTTTTTCAATATTTCGACCCCCCTTATGCCCCTATTTTTACTTAGATTTTTTTCCTTGTAGAGCTTGATTTTTAACTAATATTTTATGTTAACATCGCTTTTCATTTTTAATTTAGGATTTTTAAATTTCAACACCCATTTAAACCCCCATTTTTAATCAGAGGGCTTTTTCTTTTTGTAGAGCATGTTTTTTTGCTAAAAATGTCCATTTAATATCATTTTTCGTTACTGAGTTTTTTTTTCTTCCTGGGCTCGTCTGACTATGTCTTCGAATAACACTGAAGCCTATTGGTTTATTGTGTTTTACCCCATGTTAGTTCATAGCACCCACTCTGTCACCTTCGTACCTTGTACAAGTTTGTACAGATCCTTGGGTGAGTGGGTTCAATACGTTGTTGGATCAACCTGGGGTTGTCCAAAAAGAGCCTGTCTTTTGCGATCTAGAGCTTCGTATTCTGGTTTCTTGTGACATAGTCGGCACTTGACTTCCCCATTGTACATGCCAATTTTGTTCAAGTGTCCCTTTACTGGGGCGTGCCCAGTCATGAACCCTGTTATCACTTTCAACTGGTTCCTATTCATAAAGAGTAGTTCTCTAGTTCTTTTGGGACATGGTCTGACTATGAAGGCTTTTTCATGTGCCTGTTTTGGGGTGCTTCGCCAATAGTTGATATGTTATTTCCTAATCCAGTCGTTACTGAGTTAGGATTTTTTTCAATATTTCAATCCCCTTGTCTCCCCATTTTTATTCAGATTTTTTATAGAATCAATAGGCTTCATTCCCTTATAGAGCTTGATTTTTTACTAAAAATTTCAAGATGATATCGCTTTTGGTGTTTGATTTCTATTTTTTTTTTTTTATTTTAACCTCCTTAACCCCCCATTTTGTTTACAATTTTTTTTTAATCAATAAACTTTGTATACTTATAGAGTTTGATTTTTGCTAAAAATTTCAAGTTGGTCTTTTTTAGTTTTTTATTTATGTTTTTTTTAATTTCAACCCCCCTTAACACCCACATTTTTAATCAGATTTTGTCAAAATCAAAGGACTTCTTCCTCTTATAGAGCTTGATTTTTGCAAAAAATTTCACGTTGGTATCATTTTTTGTTTTTAAATTAGGA